TTACCTGAAGGGCAGAATAATTCACTCTTTGATGCTATGTGTCAGTACAGAGTGTTTTCCCTGCACTGTTTAGTACAGTCCCACTCACTGGATCTGCTCTCCTGCTGGTTGTGCCACTGTCCCTTTACTGCCAAATTCAGCGTTTTGCTCACCTTATGCAAATTTGAAGATATTGTTCAAACATTTTTTAATCAGTCAGGGTTTGTTTTCACACCTTGTCTTCCTTCATTGACTGGCCAGGGTGGATGGGGGCCTGAGCAACCTGTTTTGGGGGTGGTATTCCTGCCCATGGCAGAGGGCTGGAACTGGATCATCTCTGAAGTCCCTTCCCTTCCAACCCACTCTGTGATTCTGTGACTGAGGAATGGCATTTGGAACTGCAATGCAGTGAAAGAGCTTCTGAGGGTTTCCTAAACCACAGTCTCCATTCACAACCTGTTCAGGGATGACAGCCAATGCTGTGGGGAAGGTGTGATCATCTCCTGGGGACTGCACAGCTCCCACAGCACTCAAAGCATCACCATTTGTTCTGTTTGACTTCCAGCAGATGGTCTAATTATAGGAAAAAGCATTGCTCTCCATTTTGTCAGAAGATGTATTCTGAGCTAAGTCTACCTAATGCTTTCCTGATTTCTGTGGTTTTTGCTTTTTTTCTTCCCTCCCCTGAGCTGGACAACAATGTGCTCTTAGTCCAGCAATCAAACATGAAAGTGAGCCCATATGTATAAAGTGCACTCCTCGTGCTGGAACTTACCCAGAAGAGACAAATTATCTTCATAGAGGGGTTCGGGATTTGTCTCTTTTCCCATTAAAAAAAAGAAAAAAATCTGACATAAGAAGTGATTTGGAATAAGGGCAATGCAGTGGCCAGTGGTGGTGCTAAGCTGTGCTGCCAGACCTGAGAGCTCAGGGATGCAGTGAGGCCTTTGAAAACACCGGGCAAGTTCATGGTAGGAGAGGGGCTGTCACTTGTCCCCTGTGCCCCAGGGTTAGCAGCAAACATATTGGATGAGTGTCTCCTAGAGAAGGCTTTCAAGCCTTTTCTTTGATGTCCACATCTGGCCTGACCTGAAAAACTCAGCCAGTGGGCAGGAAAGCTGGGATTGATGGTTCAGAAGGGGCTGGCAGCTCCTGGCATTTTTGGGGGTGCAGTGACATGGTGGTGACTATGCTATGGGGAAGTCATTTTGCTGCTGTTTCCCTTCTAGGTTTTGCTGTCACTGAACCTTTCAAGGTTGGGTTAGATGGAGCTCTGAGCAACCTGGTGCAGCGGAAGTTGTCCCTGCCCATGGCAGGGTGGGCAGAACTAGATGAGTTTTGAGCTCCCTTCCAACCCAAACCATGATTCTCTGTAGAGGCTTCTGGATTTGAAGATGTTGGAGAGCAGCTCTACATCTGCTGAAAGCACTGGGGAGTTTTGCAGAAGGCCATCTGTGGAAGAAGTAGGTGGATATTCTTGGGAAGAAAAAAATCTCAGTTTCTATTAAATTTGCTCTACCCTGTTCAAGCTCTGTTCAAGACTACTTCTTGAGCTCATGGTAGAATTGCCAGCCTGGAAGTGTCAGATGGAGCAGATAGTCCTGGGAGATTCCCTGGCCTTGCAGATTTTCTCTTCTAAAGCTGGAATTGTCTGGCCTCACATCCTTTCAAATGCAGACCAAACACACCCTGACAGTGGCTTAGACATCAAAGCTGGGCTCTCCTTCCGTGTGTTCCTTCATCCCCAGCTCCCTGTGTGGCTGTCTGGGTGCTGCTTCCATCCCAGGACTGAGATTCAGATTGGCAGTGCTGGCTCTTATATACAGCTGGATCTAAAAGTGCCCAGCTCTCAGGGCTTCCCACTTTCCTCCTCCCCATCAGTGCTGCACGGTCAGACATGGAGCATGCCACTGCTTTCCCTCTGGCTCACAGACTGAATCCGTGGGGCAATGCCACTGGCAGCAGAAACAGCCCGGCCTTCCCACCCACCCCAGCAGTGATGGATGTGGTTGTGTTTGAGGTGGACTCAGCTTCCTCCCTCACCTCCAGTCTGTGCTCCAGTAGCTCCATCCTCCTGTCCATGTGCTGGGAAGAGGAGGCCATGTCCCCCTTTTATGGTGGGAAAAGAGACCCAAGCCAGTGCTCTGCTGTGCTGTCAGTTGTCGGAACTCAAAATGTCCCCCAGACATTTTTAAATGTTCCAAGTACAAGTCAAAAACATTTAATACCCTAGCAAGCTACTAAAAACAACTATAATTTTAAATTTAAACCATAGAATAATTTACCAACTTTACAAAAAAAAACCCCAAAAAGTCACAAAAGTTTAAATATTGTAATAAAAGTAGTCACGAAGTAGAGGGAAGAATTTTTGAGTGCTGTACAGAGGGGTTTTAAGTCCTGTACAGGGGGGTTTAAGTTTTGTACATGGGGGTCAGAAGTTTTAAAATAGAGAGATTTAAACCTGCCCCGTCCTCCTTCTTTCTTCTTCCTTACCTCCATATTCTTAGTAATATTAACACTCACAAATTAGTTTAAAGTAAAAAAACCCCACAATTTAACATAAGTAATAAGCATTAAAAAAAAACCCTATAAATATTTACCACATAATATACCATATAAAAAATAACACCAACCCTGGGCAGGTGGAGAGAAGAAGCAGTTGGGAGTCAGAGAGGATGTCAGGGTGTGTGTGTGCCTCTGCCTGAGCTGTGAGCAAACCACAGCAGCTCAAGGAGAAAATCTTTTAAATAACTTGCAATAAACTGCCTTGAGACCAGACAACAAGAGACTGCTGAGCCTTTCTTTGGAAGCACGGGTTAGAAGAGAGATTTTTCCACCACACAGAGCCACCTCCAACCTAGAGTGAGCTGCAGCAGCCAGTGGTGCTGGGAGCGGGGCAAACCCGCTGGCCTGGGTGGCTGATACGGGGGTCAGAGGAAGGGGGTTGACCTTTTGAGCAAAAGCCACACTAAATTACAGAAGTACTGAGAGCTGTGCCACTATGGGCAAGGGCAAAACACAGTTATTTGTCAAGGTTAACCACCTCCATGGAGCTGTTGTGGGCAGCTGGAAGCTGTGGTGCAGCCACCGCTGTGCCACGGCCTCTCTGAGCACGTGGCCATGGGTGCTGTTATTCAGCAAAATGGCTCAGGAATGTTTCCTTCCCTTACACCTACCAGCTGCACCTTTTAATTTGGCTTTTCTGGGATTGTGTACCTAGTGGTGATTTAACACATGGTGAAATATCTGGGGAAGGGCTCTGTCAGTGGATAGCTAGGCAAGGGAAATCCTTAGCCTGCTTTGGACATAGACATTCTGTTTTCTTTGCTCAGCTCCTTTTCAAGACTTGCTTTGTTCCTTTTGACTTGCCCCTCTTTGAGACCACCCTCCTTCAGGTTATCATTATCCACATGCTGATTTAAATTGGGATCACCCTTAATGAGGCCACATTGTAATTCAGTGTACTGTTCTTTCTTCCCCACACTGGCCAGAGATTCTTCCCATTCCTGTTACTGCATCCTCTTAACCCAAAGAGACTCCTCCTGTTTCCACACTCTTTCTTGGTGTTTCCCAGGCAGGCTGCATGATAAGAGATGTGTAGGAGAATTGAGGTACTGAATTCAGGGTGTACAGATGTGGCTACTGCTGCAGGCAGTAGTGGCAGAACCTTGCTGTTCTCCAAGTTGTCATTTACTGGTTGTACTGGAATAGCTGGGACATTTGCACAAGAGATGGAGCTGTGCTTCTGCCTCCTGGTGGGAGCTGACTCCTCGATGGAGATATCATGCCAGGCTGGATCCCTTGTCCTTTTTGGGGTAACAGGAACTGCAGCAGTGCTGGAATGCTACTTAAGATTTGCCCTCATTTTTGGCAAGCAGGAGGTGCATGAAGCCGGGCTGCACTGTGATTAGAAGGTGCTCCCTGTTGAGTGCTTGATGGTAAACACTGCCAGAAACTGTGAGATACAGGGATCCCTGTGTCTGCACAGTCCAGTTCATTGCACTTCTTCCATTTCCTTACCTGGCTCAGTGAGCCCTACTGAGGCTGATGGGGCTTTTCCAAGGCCAGCTGTGTCCATGTTCTATGTTCCATGGCTGAGCAACATCCTCTCAAGAGCTGCCCCTGGGAAGTGTGGAAAGGAGAATGACTGCAGCTTGTAGTTGGGGACAAAGGAATGGGCTAAGCACAGCAAATGGGTGAAGCACAGCTGTGAAGAGGCAGGAGTTAGCCTGGAATATGGTGCCTGGACTGGCAACTGGTTCCCAAGCCTTCTCTGCTCTCCAAACTTTCTGACTCACATCCTGTATCCACCACCATGGTGTGCATATGCTGTCTCTTGCTTCAGGCATGTTTCAGAGTCTTACCAGAGTCCTCCTGAAATCCATAAGTGAAGCACTGTTCCACTTTAAGCAAAGCGTTGGTCAGACCCATAATAAACAGCAAGCTCTGACATTTAACACATGTAATACTGTTTGCCCAGTTTTAAAAAGGAAATATTATCTAAGCACTTCTCTGAAGACTAGAGCCACCCACGCTTAGCTCTGTTCAGTTTGGCCAGTCTGACCTGTGCAATATTGCTATCACTTCCAGAATATAACATTCTGAACACCTTATAAATTGTGCAATGTACTGAATGAAAAGTTTCTCTGCATGTTTAAAAATCCCCCCAGATCCTTTTTGTGATAGACAATAAATAAAGAAAAACTTTATAACTCCCTGAACTGATAGAAAATTAGCACAGTCATAAAAGGCCTCTGTGGCTTTAGCAGTGCAGCTGAAAAGGAAAAATGAATAAACCTGCCACTCATAAAGTAAGAGGCAGAGCTGAAGAATGACTGCTGCCATTTTAGCCTCTTGGCCCTTCTTCCCCCTGTACAAGTGCAAAAATAGCCTCATACCCTGTGCAGGAGGCAAGGAAATCCTCTGCTCTGGGACCCTTCCTGCAGGCACTGCTCGGCAGCAAACTGCTGTACAGCACATGACTAGAGGATATCCTAAATGAATTTACATAGACATTTAAATATATGCATGTGTGTATTTTCTTTATGAAATATGAAAACACTGATTTCTTAGCCAACCCCTTAATTTGTCTGAAACAGCACAGGCATAATGGAAACTACCCACACATTTTTCCATTACAAGTTACAAAGGTAAAGAAGGGAAATTGGTGATAGAAAAACACATGCTCCTTCAGCTGGCACAGAAATGCCAAGGAGCTAGGTGGCAACACACACTCACTCCAGTTTGCTGGGAAATGTTTACTCTGGTGGTCTTCCTGCTGTCTCATGTTTATTCTGGTGGTCTTCCTGCTGGTGTTCTCCCTCCTCAGCACGCTGGGTTCTGTGTGTTTGGAGGGGAGGGATATTGCCGTGCTGGTGCCTTGCAGGTGGATGCAGTGAACATGAAGAAATTCGAGTTTGTCCATATCTGTTTTGCAGGTTTCCTCCTCTGGGTGACCAAGAGCCATGTCACTGTCCCTTGTGTAGTGCTGCATGGGGCAGTGGGTGACCCTGGAGCTGCAGAGCAGCTGTGCCTGGCTGGGTTAGGAACAGCAGGTGCCAGGTTTCTGCGTGGTCTGTCCAGCCTGAACGTGACTTTCTGCAGAGATGGATGAGTGTGTGACTCTGCTGCTGAGCACAACCCAAAGCCAAACTGCTGTGAGCCATGCTGGCTGTTGGGCAGCTCCAGGCATGTCCTGCTGGAGAACGAAGGAGGGGAGAAAGGGAAGGCCTGGGGGAACACCAGTGGCTCCTCAGAGCAGGCATCTCCCTGGGCCATCACTCAGCTCTCCCTCACTGCCTTCCCACCACCAACAAATACGACACCGTGACATTAAAGCCTTGCCATTGAGGCAGGGCAGATTCTTCAACAGGAAAAGGTAACTTTCCCCCTTTCCTGCCTTCATCTGGTGTGGCCTCACTCAGATGTGTCAGGTGCATCAGCAACTCATTGCAATCAGCCCTACAACCTCCCTTTGATGGCTGTATCTGGAACAGCTCCCCAAGCTCACCAGCATTTTTCCAAAGAATGCCTTGTGTTGACAGTGCTAACCAGCCTGCACAGCGGGAGGGGGGAAAAGCAGCTGGTAACTAATGCAGGGCTGTGGGGATTCATGGATGTGTGTATGGTTCTGGTTTTCGCTATATTGTCCTATAACCCATATGCATCACTGTGGGTTCTGTTAGTGGAATTTTGCTGCTCAGCAGCTGTCCGGGCAATGTGAAGCCAGGCCCACTCATCCTTTTAACCATCAAAAGTACGATTCAATCCATTTATGGCTGCCCCAGGGCGCTGCTCCACACATCTTTCACAGCAGCTGTGCCAGCTTGATTCATTCCCACCAACTTGACTCAGAAGCCGTGCTGTATCTGTTATCTGCTGATTGATTGGGGGTTAAAAATAAGTTGGATGATTTGACTGGTTCCTTGTTTCAGTTTCCCTGTTCAGTTATGCTTGTTTCAATCCCCCCCCCATGTCTTTGGTTGAGTGTTCCAATATGTCTTTTCTGTTGTAACATATGAAACATAACAACAGCTTCTCCTAACCATTGCCCTGTGCCTGGGAATGTGAGCCACAAACCCTTCCTTGGGTCTTGCTCTAATATGAAGAGTTCTATACTTAAATGACAGAGCTGAATTTGGCCATAGTAACCTCCATCACCTTGCTAAAGTCTACTACACAATGGCATTTAATGTACAATTTTGGTCACTGGAAAGGAGATAAACAGAAAACAAAATAAAATAAGCAGCCCAGCTCTGAATGGATCATAATTTATTATGAAATAGGACAGACTTTTTTTTAATAAAGACTGTTACTTGGGAGAACAGACTATCTCAATCTGTGCTCCAGGAGTCATCCTATGATGCACCTGGTAGGTCCTATCAGAAGTTATTTGGCTCCCTCAGAGTTTCCAGTCTTGGCAAATTATGAGTGGTAAGACTTGAAACTTTGTGCGTCATTTCATTTATTAGAATAATTTTTCCTCTTCCCTGACACTTTATGTGCTATGTTCTGTATTAATAGTGTAGTAGCATTTCTCAATAGCACCATAATTTACTAATCCACAAAGGGCAGGGATGTGTTTTATATTTCAAGAATTGTGACCAACAGCCCTCTCATCTCGCTCCCAGAGAAACCTGAGAATGTTGTTCCCCCCCACATTGTTAAGCAAGAAGCAGAGCTTTCTCCCTGAAAATACCTATCTTCCCTCTGAAGTGATCCTGGAGTTCCTTGTGCCTTTCATCCATCTGCTGTCAATTTAACTGGCTTCACGAGCTAGTGGTGCCTTCATATGACCTTGCAAGTATTTACAAAATCTGGTTTCTATAAAAAATAAGGGGTGATCCCTATGCTTACCCTCCTTCTCAACTAACCATGTTTTGTTACTACCAGCTTGTGCTAGAACATATCCACATCTTCCCCACCAACTCAAGTCTGGATCTGGGATGCTCCGATGACTTGGCCAAGTTTTCCAGCTGCTGAGGTTACCTCAGCAGAGCCGTCGCTGGTGCAGATGTGCAGTGGCTTTGCCCGGACCGCTGTTGTTTCTGGAGACTTGGAGCACAGTGCTGGGGCTCTGCAGCCCAGCAGATCTGGCAGAGCCTCCAGCACGGGTCAGACTGGGTGTGCACGGCCCAGACTGCCTTTGGACCCCTGGTTTGCACCACCTGGGCAGACCAACACACACCTGGCCCAGCCCAGTGCCTGTGTTAATGCCAGGGCACCACGCACGTGTCCGTCCATGAGCTTGCAATCAACCTGACCTGAGAGGCCAACAGAGACATGGAAAAGATTTTACAGGAAGCCATAGAAAGGTTTGGGTTGGAAGGGACCTTAAATATCATCTATGTGTGTCTGTATACAGCAGGGGGAATTGCCTTTTATGTCGGTCATGAATCTTTGAGCTCAGACTGACTGCAATGCTGGTCAGCTTTAATTCTGTGTGGGGTTCCATGTCAGACCCCATAACCCCAAAACAGGCATATTTCTAGAGACATTTAGCCTTAGTATTCCAAATGAACACACTGACTTGCAGCAAGGCAGTCTTTCACAAGATGGAACTGTATTTATTTATCCAGGGTGTAACTTTAATCTTTCATCAGAATGCAGATACGAGCTGCTTTATGACAGTTTGTAAACTTGCACTTTATAAAAATTTGGGAATAAAACCTTTGCCTAACAACAGTTGTGTTCTTGGAAATCAAGTTCCATCTACCTAAACCTTTTATGTTAGAGATACATCCCACATGTGAGTCATTGTCACAATTCAATAAATACTTTACAAAAATAATGCTAGCTTTTTAAAAAAAATTAAGACACTTTAAGACACCAGTAGTTCCTCCCAGAAAGCTTCCCTTAAAGAATAGCTTCTTCTGTAGGACACTGCATTCAGCATGAGAAAAATGGGGGGAAAGGGCTGGTTGCATCTTTTATCCCAGGGAACTTGTGGATTCCAGTTTTACTGTTCTCTAAAATAATAAACTTCCTTTTCTTAAAAGAAAGAAACAAGCAGATCCAAACATTCTTCATATTAAAACCTGGGAAGGAACTGTGATCTTTTTGGTTCTTTGACATGGATTCCTTCTCTGCCCTCACTCCTCCAAAGACTTACAGCATGCTCAGTTCATGGTTCACAGCTGCTCTGGAGATGTAACCCCCAACAGATGCAGCTCTGTACCAGAGATGTCTCCAGGAGGGGGCTATTTGTAACTCTTGCAGAACCACTGCACCAGGACATTTTCTGGCTTGTAGGAAAGCCACAGCTACATCTTCCTGCAAGCCTATCCCAGGTGGACTGCAAATACCTGAGCTAGAAGGTTAACAGGAAGAATTCCAAGAGAAAAATTGGTAGGGATTTTCTATATTCACTTTTGACTATTACCCTTCCAAAAAAAATTCTTTCCTCCTTAGATATGACTGATCATGAAACCAATTATAGAGAAAACTGATGCTGTAGGTGCATTAATCTTGTAAACCATTCCCATATGGAAGAGTACATTCTTCAATCCTATTGTTTATAACAACTTTTAAGTATGTGCCTCCTCAGCTGGGGCCTTGGGGCCTGATGGCGATGGCAGCTACCCTCCACCCCCTTCGTTAGGTTACAGATGGGAAATAAAATGAAATGCACATTATTACATGAACGTTATTGCAGTATAAAATCCTATCAGGACAAGACTTATGTATGTCTGTATGCAAAAATAGGTGTGTGTGAGACAGAGAGATATGTGTTTATAAATTACACACACTGTGAAAAATACTTATGTATTATATTACAACTATATACATTCATCAGAAAGGAACTGACCAACCCCTGTCGAGGAGCCAACGCAGCAGCCATCATCAGTTCTTTGGCATCCAGGAAACGAATGCTATTTTGCATCTGAAGAAAAGGAAAATCTTCTCAGTATTCCCTTGCTTCTTGAAACTGCTTGTAGTAGTCTTCGTCTGATGGGTTTTCTGTGCACTTCTGCCCATTGTTGGGAGGCCGGGCTTCATTGTAGCGGCTCCAGTCACCTTTGCATATGATCCAGGGCAGAATGTCCACTTTGTAGTGGAGTTCTGCTGAGAATTCGATGCTGATCAGGTTGGGTGTTCCTGCCCCTTTGCCCCTGGTGATCAGCTGCATGTTATCATCATAGCAGCAGTGCTGCGCTGCGAGCGTCGTGCTCTCCAAAGACAGCATGGAGCGGATGCAGTATCGTGCTGTGGGCTTATAGATCTCCAGTTTTTCCTTTGGACCACTCGCATCCTTCCAGCGGAAGCTTTTCCTCTTAAGTCGGTCAAAGATTTCAGCAGTGCTGTACGCAACTTCTCTGGGGTAGGAGCATGGGCAGCTGGGAAGGTCGTTGACCACTTTGTGCATATATTTCTTCAGGAACTCGCTCTTGCAGCTCATCCATCTCTCACAGCTATCAGTATCTGTTTCAGGGCAGGAAATGGAAACTTAAGATACATTAAGCAGCATCCCACTTGGTGTGATCAGTGATAGCAACTGAGTAAAGTGTAGCTGTTCAGCACCAGTGCTCTGCTGTAGAAAGAAAGGGCAATCACAGTTTGCTGCCCTGCCCACAGTGTATTGCTTTGCTGTCTTGTCAGATAAAGAAATCATGTGTGACTGATTTCTGTGCCTCAGGCAGTGCTAGTCTGAGTTACAGTGCAGAACCAGGCCAGTAGGAATCTGTGATACGTTTTCTACCTGGAAAATTTTAATTAAGCTGCTGATATCCCATGCGGCACAAGAGACACTACCATGGGTTGGTAAGCAGCAGAAAAAGGGAAATCACAATGATTTGATGCCAGTCTCCAGTTAGAATCCTTAGTCAGAACACATTCAACAGGGAAAATGGCAGTCAGATGAGGAAGGATTAAGTTTCACAAAATGCTAGAGATTACAAGATGGCAAGCAAGGCCTGTATTACTCGTTTTGAAGTACATTTTAGACCCTAATTCAGTGTTTCTTTAAAAAACAAATACTTTTTTCTATTTGATATTCACTTTTCAAGCATCAATATCTCAAACATGGAGGCTGACATCTTATCTGGCAAATGCAGCCAAAAGTGATTCAGGTTCTAAAAGGGCCTATGTGATATAACATCAGAGTGGCCATACATCAGCAGGAGTTTATGGTGCCAGAGGCATGACATATAACTGGGATTAAAGAGACCTGTAGACCAGTACCATATTTAGTACCAGTACTTCATTATTTTGCATGACTCTTGGGAGAATCCAGGTAAACATCCCCTACCTAAAACATTATTTAAGGTGTCTATATCATCCTATGGGCTGTCAAAAACCACCTGCATTCTTGCCTCACACTTACTTTAAGAGGACTCTGCAGGAGAGTAACTAACTGGGACCGAAAACTCTTACAGCACGCATTCTTGCAAAATATTTACTTGGTGATCTGTGTCCTGTTTTTCTATCTCCTTAAAGAGTCTCATCCTGGCTGTCATTAACTATTGTGCTCTGCCACCATAGTAGGGAGGTGCTGGGTTACACTATTTATTCAATTAATCCAGCATCCAGGCCACACTAGTTTCATTGAAGGGACAAAAATCAGAACATTGCAGATGTTGTATTGAGTTTTAGATAGTTCAGAATCAAGCCATGCCTTATAAAATTGCATTGGCTATTCCCACTGCAGCACACAGAGCTATAAAAGCAATGCATGCTCATAAAAGTCGTCTTCTTTTTCTTTTTTTTTTTTCCCTGATGTGACAACTGTATTCTTTTATATGAAATGAAAATGCTTTTATAGGATCTTCCATTTGAGGCTATTTAACCAAAATAGTAAAGCATATTTGATCCACACCCCCCCCCCCCCCCCCCCCCCCCCCAATACTGTGGAGTCCTACAGCTCTTTTCTGAATTAGGACAAAAAATAACCCTTTTATGATGAAACAAGCACAGGACTTAAGGGATGAAAGATTCTATGACCAAAGCAAATTTTCAGATCACAAACAGGAGTAAGATAATAAATGGCTGTTACTATTGACATTGTTAATGCTAAACTCAGTATCTTGATCCCACAGAACTAATAAAATCCTAAGGAAGTCTCTTATCTGTTACTGAAGGATTGACTAGGCTGCTTACCAACTTCAAACAGCTTGGTTGCATTGAAGTCTTCACTCCCTGCAAGTAAACTCACTTCTGTGGCAGCTGTCCGGAAGGTATCTTCGATCCCTAAGACAAACACGTGTTAGTGGTGCTGCTGTTTTCTCATTAAAACACAATGGAACCAGCTGCCTCCTTGCCACCCCTTCTTCCCCAGGCTCTGCAAGGTGCTTTGTTTTGCCAGGGAACCATTCTGAAGTTGCTGTTGGACTGTTCCTTTAAAACCACAGAGTGACAGGCCTGAAGACAGGTGAGGAAGATCAGCTCTGTACACAGGCAACCATTTCTCAAGGAAGAATGATGCTGTTACAGGAAGACTGATGCTTGTTGGTCTCTCCCAGTGCCAGGAAGTTAAAACGTGTGAGTAGGCAAGAGATAACCAACCTCTTCAAGCAATTCCATCCCCTCCACTTACAGCTGTCAAATAAAATATCAGGATCTCAATATATCAGGATTTATCAGCAGCCTCCAGTTAATTGTTTGCTACCAGTTGAGAGAAACAGAGATTAACAGAAAAATAATCTTGCCAAAGTAAACATCCTTTTGTTGCTGCTTTAGTTCAGCCTATTGACACGTCTAGCATTTCTGTGCCATGTAGGCTTAACGCAAGTAGGTTTTAGTTTTTTTTCCCCTTTCCTCTCCATTGAATTGAAGACCTCTAAAGAAAACTGAAAGATCTTTAATATGTGATAACTATATGGTTAATAATGAAGTCTATTCACCATGATCTTCTTGCCAATGAACTTTCTCCTGATCTCCTGAACTGGGGCATAATAGTGGCTTGCAAAACTTCAAAACAGCCTCAGGCCAATTTTCAATAAAATTATCATAGAGTTTTGCCTTAACTCCAGCACTAGATGTAGAATAATAGATACCCAAGAACCCATTACAAGGCAGTAATTCACTGTTGGAATTATAAACAGCAGAAGCTGAGCTTTGACCTCGTAATTTCAAAACTGTCATCACAGCATCAAAGAGTGACTATATTTTGCTTGCTGATCGTTGGAGGTCTGTTATATGACATAATATATTCTTTCAAGTTTTCCACTTTCTGGTGCTAGCTGGTAATGAATACTAGAGAATATAACTGGAGGTTACTTGCTTTCTTCTGGAATTAACTCATTGAGGTTTTAGGATGTATGAGAGCATGCAGAAACATTTTTCCCGGAACTGCCATGCAGTTGTTGCTTTGCAATGGAGACATGGATCTATCTGTGAGTGAGAAACTTCTTTCTAACTCTCTCACCAAGTCTTTTAAGTCTCTTCTCCAGCACTGACATTTCATTTCCCATTAAAAAAAAGCCTAACCTCCAGTTTAAGAATTTCTGCCTTTCTGAGTCATTAAGTAAACTGAGAATAATGCATACCACCATGACTTGTGCTTTCACTTCTCTCTGATCTTGGGAAGTAATGAACTTGCACTTGTCCCCTGCATTGTGGCAACTACTGCATGACAAATTAGTCTAAATTTAAACACACAGCAACATCTAAAAACAAGTTTTCCATAGCAGCTTCAAATTTTCATGATGTAGGCTTGAGTGCTCAGCTCTGATTTTGCCGAAGTGAAGACGGTGTGATGGTAAAGATACTTCAAAATGTCAAATCCTGTGAATGGGTAAGAGCTAAGGCAAGGTTCCTTGGCCATATTTTCTGAATATATTCAAGCCAAAACTGTACATTCCTTCATCCCTCTTCCCAATGCAAGCAAGGCCATCCACTTCACAGCAAAACAGGAGCTCACTGAGGTACAGCACAGCTGGCTTGAAATTCTAAAACAGCTCCAAATCTGTTTCAAGGGAGGAGATTACACCCTTTAGAATACAAAATGTCTATGCACAAAAATGACTACCATGACCTAGAGAAAGCCTGTACAGAATCACAGAATCACAGAATAATGAGGTTGGAAGAGACCTCTAAGATCATCATGTCCAACCTATGCCCTAACACCACAACTAGACTACAGCACCAAGTGCCAAGTCCAGTCTTTTTTTAAACATATCCAGAGATGGTGATTACACCACCTCCCTAGGAAGACAATTCCAGTATTTTATTATTCTTTCAGTGAAAAATTTTTTCCTAATATGCAACCTGTACCTTCCCTGACGTAGCTGAGACTGTGTCCTCTTGTTCTGCCAGTTGCTGCTGCTGTAGTTGTCTTTTAAGTCCCAGGGGATGGTGGACTGCATCTAGCAGTGCACCATGTTGAAAATCAGTGCGTCTTTTCCCACCGGAACCCAGAACACACAGGCGCCAGGCTTTGTGTGCACGAGGGCTCTCTCCAACCCTGCCCACCTGTCCCTGCTTGCCCTGGCAGCAGTTCCCACCTGGGCACGGTTCCCACCTGGGCAGTTGGGCCTGTCGCAGGTCCGGGACTCGGTGGCCGTGCAGGCGTATCCGCAGGACCTGGTGCGCTTCTGGCTGCCGCTCCCGCAGGTGACGCTGCACAGGGACCACGGGCTCCAGTCGCCCTCACCATCAATGTAATCTGTGTGAGGACAAATGGGAGGAAGGAAATGAGGAAACAAAACTCCTACTACCCCAAACTACTGTGTAGTGTTTTTTATTAAGAAGGCAAATCACGAATGGGATCCAGATGTCTCTACCTGAAGCTTGGGCCGAATGCCAGGCGCAAGCCTGCTGTTTAAATGGTTTTCACACTTGATGCTCCTCAGGGAAATGCACGCAGCATTATTTGAAAAAATATTTCCTTTCTCTTTTGACCTTTTGGCTGCTGAGGATCCTCAGCTGCAAAGCTCGGTCATGAACTAACAGTACACATCTATTCACATCATTTCCCTGCATATAGGAATGTGTTTATGGACCAAAGACTAATCAGGCAAAGGATAAATTCACTTTTCTTTTTCATCTTTTCAAAACACACAACAGTACTCAAGTTTGGGGCAAGATGCATGTTGTTGGGCTATGGGAAGCTAAGGGTCATGAGTGAAAATCACAATTTTGTTTTTCAGTCCCTTGAACAGGGAACAGATATTTCAGGAATAGTGCTATGAGAACAGGGAACCACATGCTTTTCTCACACCAAGAACAACATGTGATATTTAGTGTTTCGTGTGAATTATTAAATAAAATCAAATCTGACTATTTACTAGAATGAACCTTATGCAAAAGAAACATGATTTTTTTTTTTTCTGGCAGACAGCCAACAGCACTGGACACCAGGTCTGCATAACAAAAGCTGATGCCACTGGGAGTACCTAAACCTTCACAAACAGCCTTCTTTGTAAGCTGTGTAAACTGTTGCACATCCCACCGTGTGAAGGCCACCAAAGAAATCCCATGAATGTGTCCCAGCTTTCTTGCCTTCCCACTGACCTCCCTGGCTGAGGGGACATTTGGCTTTATGGTTTTCCCTGCAACCTACAGGAGATATTTTACTGTGATCATAACTTGCAGCTGTAGCTCCTTTGGGTTACACCACCACTGATAGCAAAGCAAAATCTGGTTTAGTGGCTCTGAGGCAGCCCTGCTCTACAGCTATAGGTAAGAGTACCTAAGCTACAGGAAGACCCAGGGAGGGTTCCCTGGTCTCTGTGCTACATGTGATTCCTGCTCCACCCCAGGGCCATGCTGTCTGTGGGCTTCCTGAGCTGGTTAGCAGAACACGTAACTTGATTTGTTCCATATGTAAAGACTGACAACAACTCTGTGGGGTGCTATTAAACATTTATTGCCAGGAGTATGGGAAGGTTATATATCTCACTCGGAGCAAGCTGCCTAGATGTGAGTTCCTCATGGCAAGGAACTTATGTGTTTCTTCTTTTCTGACAGGGCTGATGATGGGGAAGCCACCACACTGGAATCAGGTGTCTGCAGTGGGATGTGGGTGTGAACATGGCTAATGTCAGTGTGCGAGACCCGTGGTTCTGGGATTTGCCAGCAGGTAGGCACCACAACAGTCCAAAAAGGCATCAGATGCCTCAGAAGTGATTTGCCCACTATGCCTGGCCCTGCTCTTCTTCCCAACTCTTTTCCAGTTCTTTTCTCTCCATGTGGTTGGCGAGGAGGAGGGCAGGTGAGCAGGTGCAATGCCTCTCAAACAGCCCAGCCCAGAAGACCCAGGAAGGGCAGGGAGAGGCCTTGGCAGTGGCAGGAGGGGAGAGAGACACACAGGAAAGGTATGAACATGTCAGTGGGTGGAACATCTACACCCCTCATGGGCAGGATCTACTACACCCTCCTGGACAAGGCCAGCATTTTATATTAGACAAAAGGCCAGGAGTTGTTTCCAGTTAGCTGGATGCTCTGGTGTGCAGCAGGGAGCTTTAGGATAATTTTTAGACCTACCTACCTAGTGTTTACAGCGCACTATGAAGCACACTATTGAATATACCATGTTAGATTTTCAGTTGCAGCTCAACCTGTTCTTCCTATTTGCATATTTGTAATTCTTACTATGATCTTTCTATCACAATTATTTGTGAAAGCAATTTTTTTTAACTTATAGGAATAACTGCCCAAGATATGAATTCTTGGCAATAGACCCGCTCACAAATAAACGTAGGTGCAAAAAGAAGAGATAGATTTTAATCTTCTGGCCACAAAATTTAAAACATATGTATGTGTTTAAACACACTATTCCATAAAAACTCTCTCTTGATTTTTAAGATTCTAGTACTTCAAGTCTGTCAAATAATGGAAAAACAAGTATGTTTTACCCAGGCACTCTGCAGCATCTGGGGAATAACAACAGAAATGCCAGGGTAAAAGTACCATGGCTTTGACACCTTGTCCTGACTAGAAGTAGTCTTTATTTACACACAACTTAAATTCAAGGGGCTCTTCCTGTGAGCACAGTTTAGCTCACCTCCCTTGGGTCATTCCCATGTGGATAGTCACAGTCTGTAAGGGCAGTGAATAGCTGTAGCTTTTCTCTGTTTCTAGTTTCTGCAACTATTTCATACAACAAGCTGAAAACTATTGTTTTCCCCATGACACATCTGGAAGAATATCACACGCACAAATACACAATGTTCCTGCTGCACACGCCACTCCCCACACATGCACCAACATAACTCATCTTATTTGTGTATCCACCAAATACTACCATGTTTCAGATCTTGCTTATTTATCCAATAGTTATATTCTGGTTCCCAAACCACCACACAATTCTAAATTTGTACTTACCCTTACTCTAAAAATAAATATGAAACCTTGTTTCCTCTACTTTTTAAAAAAAGCACATGTCGGACTGAAAAAGGCCCTCATACCAGTTATCCCTTCTGGGATTTCCAAGATTATAGATTTACTAGTGGAATGCAGCTACCACAGTACTGCTTGTGCATTTGCACAGATTTGTATTTGAAAGCTGATGAACAAAAGCCACATGTTGAAAAATTCTATTTTGCTTGGCCTGCTCTCAGCGATGCCTCACCATTCTCATTTCCCTCGTGCTTGTTTTTACAATCCCAAGATGCCCATACGAGGCCTGGAACACAAACCTACCATACTCTGGCTGCTCCTTGGACTCGAACGTCCGGTGACTCGGTGCACGACTATCCCACCCACCGAGAGGGTTGAGGAAGTTGCTGTCCTCAGTGGTGCTGTCATACTTGTAGTCCTGGTCACCGCTGCTCATGCGAGTCAGGGTGGAGGACCTCTGCCACCAGTTCCTCCAGTCGGGCGATGGGGCTGGCCAGCTGGGCTTGCTGCTCTCCTTCTGCAGATCCTTGTCTGTCTCTGTGTCAGGGCTATCCACGACTTCAATGGTGACCTGTGGGATTCAAAACAGACCAGCCTGACCGTCAGTGCCTCTTCTTTGTCAGTGGGAAGCTTTCCATACAGCAAAGACAAGGTGCTGCCTGGCAAAGGGGCTGTGCAATGTCGCCCTGATTCTTAAGATTTTCTAAAGCCTTCTGAGTTTACATTCTGTTAGAAAACTTTCCCACACCATTTCTATAAACAACATATTGTTTTGCATTCCTTCATGGGGGTGGAGAAACTTGATGTACTAGTGGTTTTTCCAATGTCTTTGGAGAGGTGGCACGTTCACTCTCCAATCCACTGTCACCTTTGGAAAAGTATAAAAGTTGGAGTCAGAGAATAAACCTTCTTCTTTACCTTGCAAATAGCAAGTGGCTCACGTTGTGCTTTCATGTGTCCTAAAGTGACAGTGCAATACCATGGTTTTGGCATGTTGTAAACCATATGTGTGTTACTGAACCCAGAGACATGCAAAGGCTGAGCGATTCTTTCTGCTACCTCTGCTGAATCAGACCTCAGAACCAAGGCTAGGAAAAATCCTGCACAAAATAACAACCCACGCTGTGCCTAAAACCCTTGCAGCAGAATTTTCTGCCTTATGGGGGAAAATGTGCTTAGAGCCTAACATATATGACCAGGAAAAGGAAAAACAAACCTCTACTCTATCCTGAGGCTGACTTTGAGGCAAGCATGAAGCACACTAGTGTGCAGAGCCTGTTCCAAGGAATTGGGCTGACTCAAGATAAGCAAGGCCATGTGTGTGAAGGTTAAGATGCAGAGCCCAGGTATTGCTGGGTTTGCATCTGTCTTGCCCCTCTGGCAGCAGCCCAGCTGTTACTGCTGCATGAAACCACACTTTGTGGCAGTGATGGGAGCCAGAAACTCCTCTGACCATTGCTGAGTAAGCCACTTGCTGCAAAACCCTTTAAAGCAGGTCCTTTTGTCATGCTGGAAGAGTATAATGACCTGTTATGGTCAACCTGTTTATAGTTTCTAACAAAGCCCAGAACCAAAATTCAGAGTTTGCTGCCCAATTCCCTCACAGACATCACAAATGTCAATATCATTCTGCATAGAAGCAACCTTTGATTATTGCTTTCCGTGCTGAACAATGTGTAATTGTAAAACTCTTGGATAAATACTGTGTGTGCATATAGGTAGCTATTTAGGTAGAAGCAGAGACTAGCCATGAGAAACCTCAGCTCTGTGAGTCATGCAAACATTGGGTGGCCACAGATAGATCATAAAATGCTCTGATGTTTCACGCTAATATGCTTCAGTGATTATACTAGACTGGCTAAACAACCAGAACTGACTGGCAGATATATCTATAATGTTTAATAGGTATGGATGCATTCCCAGCCTTTCAAGATGGTACACAAAGAAAATCAGGTTGTATAAACCAGAAATCATGTACTGTTATGCTAAAAGGAATTTACACCGCTCTGTGGATGTGCATTGTACATAAAATATTCATTTTTTACAATTTTTGTTACTAAAATCACAAGACACACACAAGAAAAAGAAAGAAAAGGTCACAGCTACCTGTGATCCACAGGAAGCAAAGCAGAACTGTTGTTTCTTCATTTACCCACATATCCTTTTTTTGGAAACAGGAGATTTTGAACCTATTTCATGCTTTGCATTTGACCATAGGCCAGGCCATTGAAATGAAAAAACCTGCAGGCTACTATGAAGCTCCACTGGGAAAAGAGCAAGAGCAAGAGCAAGGGAAAGTGCAGTAGTCAGCCTAATAGCATCTTTACACAAAGGGTATTTCATTCCCAGCCTAAATATGGGATTGGAATGATTACTTCATTAAAACTCAGTTTCTACAGACCAAGAATTAAAACGGATTTCATAATCTTGAAAACATCAGTTCAGGGATTCAAAATTGTTGCCTCTATCCAAGCAAAACAGAGTTTCACAATATATGAAAGGAAATCGCCTTACTGAGCAGCAAACACTGCCAGTGGTGGGGCTCAGTACTTCCCACCTGGAAATCAGTACAGTTCTAGGACTTTAGCAGCAAGTATTTTTAGGACCACACTAACTCTCTTAGCAATGACTCAGCAAAGTGGAAAAAACCCAAACCCTCTGATTTAAAAATATGATAATTGCTCCATATGCTTTGATAATCTGTACCTGTATGAAAGTCAATCAGCGTGAACTGGCATTATTTCGGCCAAGGACAATTTGAAGAACCACAAGAACTTGATTTTAAATAATGGTTGATGATGCCAAGTCAGCTTAAGGAAAAGAGGGTTTGCAGGGACAGAGAAACATTTGCTGAGCTTGGTGCTACACTGGTGAGGAAAGGCAGGTGGAACACACATGCTTCCAGTGTCATCAGACCCCACCAAACCTCCAGCAGCACTGCCACTAACTGACTTCCAAGACTGGAATATCTGTGCAATCAGCCCCTTCAGTCTGTTTTTACCTCTGAGGAAGCTTATTAGAAAGGCTTCTAAAATGGGTTTTCCAACACACAGCCAATTTAAAAATCAAAAACAGCAGAAGCAAATTCCAGTGTGGTAGTTTGACACATATCTATGTTCCCCTCTCCACTGCTTTAAGCTTTGATTACCAAGGTGTTTATTGTGGAATAAAAATCATGCAGTGAAAGAAATTCTGTAAATAATCTTGGGATTGTCTGAACTGCCACTCTTGGAAATTAGAAGCCAGCTTCAATCAACTCTGGTGTTTTCAGGGACTTGGCTTAATGGACCTTCCAGAGTCTGGGAGGAAATCAGTGCATAGTCCTAGGAATCCCTCCTCCACTCTATGACCCATAAGTTAGGGCAGAATAGTGAGAAGAGACTGTTGTTCCAGGTGAGCAATTGCTCCCTTATCTCAGTCTAAAATTTTGAAAAATAAGCTTTCACTGAGTTCTTCCCAGTACTTTCAGATAGACTTACAGTGTTAGTCCATGACTGCACTTACACATATACTTGTACACATTGGTGGCACTGAAATATGTAACTTGTGTGATCAGTTTCTATATTGGGGGCTGTTTATAAAAAGGAATAAAGAAATCAGGAATTAGAGAATAAAGATCAAGAACGAGAGTAATACAAACCAAGCGTTTAGAGAAGCTCTGGAAAAGCTTTCATACTGTGTAAGTATTCCAACAAAAACATGTTCTCTTTAAAATTAAAAACCAGATCTGGTTTAGCAGTTCTACCTTGGAGCCCATTTTAGAGGCTGATTTCTTCTTCCAGTGATTATCAAAACTATAAAGATTCTTTTTTCTCAAGCCTCCCAAAATGTCTGTGGTAACACAGTTCTTGTATAAATCCACAATCATCCCCAGAAGTACTCAAACCTAAAATAAAGCCACTTTGTTGTATGAGCTAGGAATAAGGACATTAATCTGAAAACTGTTAAAAGCAATTGGCGTAGGCACATTAAAACAACAGATTTGCAATCAATTTCTAATGAAACAAGTGTATCATGCACAGATGTCTCCAGACACCAACATCCAATTTTCTCTTGGCCAAAAATATACAGAAGATAAAGATTATCCCAGCCTGCTAGAGTGCACAAAAAGTTCTGTGTTCTTTGTCCTCTTTACTGAGACAATGTTTCTGAATTCACTTTACTGATGTAAACATTGCCCTAAGCGACTAGAATATTATGTTTCAGGAAAAACTATGTTTGTCATGTGCAAGCAGCGAATCCTACAACGTTTCTATCCTGTTTTTTTTTCATGCAATTGATGCAAATTTTCAATACAGGACTTGCCATTCTGGGTAAGATACACATGTGCAAGTCAGCAATGAGGGAAGTATAACAGGAGAACAGAAACAAGTTCAGTATGAGATTGAAATGGTACATCTGGCTTTACATCCCATAATTTTAATTAAAATGCTATCAGCAGTGACAGTAATTTACTTCTGGTTGTGTCATGTCACTTATAACAGTTTCTGGAATTTAAAAGTTAAGGTCACTCAAGCTTTGTTAGGAGCAAAGAAGACAATGTGACTTGAGACCTGAAATTTCTATTTAATGTTGTCAATCCAATTTGCAATCTCTGATGAGAGCCCAAATGAACCCCAGAAATAAAAATGTGTTCTAGCTTTGAATTCTGCATTCTGCAGTGAGCTCTTGTTACAGCGTGACATAAAGAAACCTGCAAAGCTTTGGTACTGACAGGGGTTTAACCTTGGACCCCTGGACTTTGGCTCTACCTACACAAGCCTCTCCAGCTGGCCAGAGGAACAACCAGCTCCTGCAAGGCTCCACTGTGCTTCCAGTGCTGCACCTGACAACAATTGCTTTGCTGCTACCTCAAGGTATTAAACATTACAGGCCTTACAAGAAACAAGCACTACTGGAAACCTCTGGCTCTTCTTGTGCTAATTTAGAGATGAGACTGGCAGGACTGGTCAGACACTGTTGAGCCTTCTGTGACAATACCAAGAGGGTTTTCCTTTCCCATGTAAGCCAGCAGCTTCAAAGGACAAATATAAATGTTAGCTAAAAAGTACATCTAATAAAATGTGTGAAAAATGACATTATGATGCAGGTGGATGTGAAGGAAATGGCCATGGGTGAACCTGGAGAAGAGTTGAGGCCTGAAGTTCTCTTTTCAAAGCAGATCATACAGCCTTGTTTCTCTGTGGTTGTCTATGTTCCTAGAGTGGGTGGTTTTGTGTAGATGTGTTTCTAAAAGAAGGTAGTAACCCAGGAGATATCAAAGAGAGAAAACAGGTAACGAGTAGATAACAACACACAACAGCCTGGAGTGGTGTGACTGGTGAATATGGCCACAGGCCTTGTGGCAAATCACAAAGACGAAACAGGAATTAACTTCTTCTGCTTTAAAACCACTCCTGTCAATTAACATGGTTATCAACATGGTTTTAAACAGTAATCCTACCTGTTTCTGTGCAATTTTCACCCAGAACATGTCACCTCATCAAAACGTTTAACACATCCATTACAACTGGAGCTCACCCAGCTGGGTTTCAGCTCTCTTGGCCATGAAGCTTGACCAAGATCTAAGTTCAGTGAGGAACATTAATATCAACAAAATGCCCTTATTGCCCAGAGAACTCCCTGTCTCTGCAGGTATGACAAGGCTGGATAGGGCTCTGAACAACCTGATCTAGTGGAAGGTGTCCCTGCCCATGGCAGGGGAACTTTAACTAGATGATCTTGAAGGTCCTTTCCAACCCAAACCACTCCACACCTTCAGTTCTGTGAGTTTTCCCTTTTGTGCTCATTTGGCATGATGTCAAGCAGCAAAGCAGTGCAACAACACAGCAGCACATTCCCTGACCCTGTTTTCAGTACACAAACCTGAGAAATCACTAATAAAAAGAAAAGGTGAGGGACAAGAGCAAAAGGTTCAATTGCAGATTGAAACATCTGGCTACAAATAGAGGGTTGGCTGGAGAAGGTGGAGAGGTTGTAGAAGGCTGTTTGGAACAGACAAGAAAAATCCACCAGAAATGGAAAATGGGTTCTTATACACCATTCATGTGACTTCATTCTGCTGTTCAGGGGAAAGAACAATTCGGACTTTGAATAATAACCCTGACCAATTACAGGGTCTGCATAGGCATCCCTTGCCTGGTCTGTCAAACAAGTGCAAACCTAGACAGCAGGAATTTTCCACTTGTGAAAGGAAAAAAAAGTGTAATCACAAAACCAAAAGTTTTTGTAATCACCTTCTCATCTAGAAGTCTTCCAGGCATTGACAGAATCATTAAAGTGACAAAAAAGAAAACAAAATACCCCAAACCAAGCAGCCAGTCTGTGCTCAACAGCAGTGACTGTGGTTACTCTCAACAACCAGTGTGGAAGCACAGCTGAAGGATAAAATGCCACTTTAAATGATGAGAGATTTTACAAGGCTAGAACACCACAGGAAGGCCAATAAGAGTTGTCCTGGTCATGTATGCAAAAAGTCACATTTATTTGGATTACTACAGCTCTGACTGTTGCTTCTGAGGGTTTTCTAGAGACAGTCTGCTGTACTTACATTATCATCTGATAAATACGGGGGTACCTGGGGTAATCTCAATTCCTCTGATGGTGTTCTGATACACACTTTTAGTTCATCACTAAAAGAGCACATAGCAAGGCATAATAGAGCAAGCACCATCTCACAGGAACCAGAGAAGAAATGGCCCTAAAGAGAACTCACTGGAGCATTTTTTCCACCTGCTTTTTTAGAAGAATTTTATGCCTCTTTCTTAGATTTTTAATTGCCAGGTATAATTTCCATTTTATAATGCTATTTTTGGTTTATGCAGTAGGAGGAAAAAGAGGTTTTGAGTATTTGAGAAGAAAATATAGCCATTGTGCTATCTTAAAACAGAGGCTGTTTTCTCCTATTCAGCCTCTCAGTCCTAGGAGGACTCTAAATCAACAATCCCAGAACTGTAACTTACAGATCTGGGAGCCATTGTGCAAAAAGAAAAATAAGCATCAATTCTGTTTTCACCAGCCAAATAGTTGATGAGAAATTTGCAAGTCAACATATGTCTCTATTTCTGTTCAGGTCATTTTAGTACTGTTTAACAAGCAAGAATTCACTATAATCTTGTTTTTTTGTAAAAGAGTAGGCCAACTTTTACAACCTTTAGGCAAAAAAATAAACTTTCTCTGACTCTGTAAGGAATTAATGGGAGTTTTATGTCCATGAGTCTTGACCAGCTGTAAGACTGTCAAACAAGAACTTAAAGAAACTTGTATAACCACTATTTACTCACCTAAATAAGCAGAATAAATTCAGAGTAAGTAAAATGGAGAACTTAGGGAGCCTCTTTCTGAAAGTCTCATACTTGTGCACAGGAGCTCTGGGATCAATGTTTCCCCTTTCCAGTTTACAGGACCAGTCTTCCCAGTTCTCAGAGTCCAGCAAAACTGCTGACATAGCTGCTGACAAATTTCCAAGATCGAGTGGTGGAAAAGGAGGTCATAGCAGCAGCCGTTACTCTGAAAACAAGCCGGGGAACTATTTCCATCTCTTTTATCCCTGTGTCTAAACTTTGTATGCTGTTACCACTCAGGAAAGGTTTTTGTTTCCTCCTGTACTCCTCTGCAGTTTGCATACTGTTCAAATAGTGATGTTGCATGATTTCCCTCCCTACAGCTTCCAATCTTCCCTTCTGTCTTAGGTTACAAGATGTGACTAGGGGTGTGTATTCTATTCCATCTGTTAGAGGTGTGGCTGTAGTCTTCTGTTAACTGGGCAGTTTTCTTTATCTCTTCCACAACCAATCCTCCCTCTGGGAAATACCTTCTGTTAATGGGCCATTGAGTCTCACACATAACTGATAAAATGACATCATCCCAATGGAGATGCTCCTCCCAGGGGGAGGAGCCAAGCATTTCTACCTGGATATAATCTGATACTTAGAACACCACAGGCAGACAGCACTGGATTCCTAGAGAAGCACTTTCTTCTCTGCTGGTTTCCCAGAGGAAGACCAGGCCCATCTACACCACCGCTGGACCTTCAGAGGAAAACTCCACCCTTGTCCATGTTCCCTGCTCCAGAAGAACCACAGCCGGCACTGCAGGAGGACTGCAGCCACCATTTAATCAGACCACTACCAACACCCTGACCAACAGGGTGTCAGGTCGTATTCTGACTCTGTCAGTGTTGGTTTTTTTTGGTTTTTTGTACTATTGCACTTGTATTTCAATTTTCCTAGTAAAGAACTGTTATTTCTATTCTTACATCTTTGCCTGAGAACTCCTTAATTTCAACATTATAATAATTCAGAGGGAGGGGGTTTACATTTTCCATTTCAAGGGAGGCTCCTGCCTTCCTTAGCAGACTCCTGTCTTTTCAAAACAAGATACCTTCCTAAGGCTTTCTGGAATGGTTCTCCTAGCACAAGAGATGTGTTCCATCACCACATGTTGAACATGTTTACTCCTTTGGCCTGTCAAGTATTAGACCTGCCTTTGACCCCAAATCTGTGAGATTTCTTAATGGTCCAACTCATCTATGGTGTACGCAAGGGAGTGATGCTGTGGAGGCAGCTTCTTCTCACCCAGTCATGAGTAAGATTCATGCATGGGTTTGGGTTGGAAAGAGTCTTAAGGATCATCTCATTCCACTCCCCTGCCATGGTGCCATGGTCAGTGATACCTTCCACCAGACCAGGTTGCTCAGAGCCCCATCCAGCCTGACCTTGAACACTTTTGGAGATGGGGCAGCCACAGCTTCTCTGGGCACCACCTGTGCCAGGGCCTCACCACCCTGAGAGGAAAGAATTTCTTCCAAAAACTACTTGCTAAAACTACTAAACTTATCCTCTGCCAGTTTAAAGCCATTCTCTCTTGTCCTATCACCCTGTAAGAGTGACTTGAAAAAAGTCCCTCTGCAGCCTTCTTGGAGCCTATTTAGCCCTGGAAGGTGCTCTAAGGTCTCCCCTGAACCTTCTATTCTCTGGGCTGAACATCCCCAGCCCTTTCAGCCTGTCTCCAGAGCAGAGGTGCTCCAGCCCTCTTGAGCATGTTGGCCTCTCACCAGCAGATCTATTACATTTTTACATACGTACTTCTTAGACATATCAAAGGGATGGTAATTTTGTGGGCTGGGGGACTATATGAAGCCAGGAATTAATTTAACCAGAAAACCAGATCTATTAGTGCATTGTTTTTATAAGCACATCTTAGGCAGAACAACATTTGAATTTATTGTTTTGGTTAAAAAAGACTGCTTATTAATGCCAATTTTGCTTCAAGGCTCTGAATTAAAAACAAATCACTCATTTTTTCCTCTTTCCGATCCTTGAAGTTTCAAGATGCAAGTGGCTTGTAAGAGGCTGTTCCAAAGAACAGTTTGAGGAATAACATATAACAAAGTTTCTTGCAGACAACTTTTTTTATACGACAAGCAGCTGCTACAGAAATTAACTTGAAGTCTCACTTCCATACAGAGGAATGCATTTTGAGCTGAAACTGAAATACTTGTTCTCTGTCAGCCTGTGGGATGGTTGCATTCTATAATAGCATACGAAATGCAAATCTGTTCACAAAGAAATTTTACAACAATAAATTGAAGGCAGAAATTAAAATACCCATTCATTTTCAATGAAGGTAATATGCTCCAAAATGGCAATGACAAAGATGGGTTTAGTATCACAAACATGTCTACACTGATCTCCACACTTATGCAGTCAACATTATTGAAGAGGAAATTCAGAAAAAAATTTGCAATATGTGCATTAACTTAGAGAGAAAAAGCATGTATTATATATATAATATTATATTATATTATATTGTACTATATACATTCTCTGTTGGTAGAGACAGATTGTTCTGACTGCTCATCATGGAAGCCAGGCTGAAAGTCGTCTTGGCTCAGTAAAATAATTCTGTGTAAGTTATAAAATAGTCAGATGCTAATATAAATTTGTACCTGAATGTTGGGATTCTGCCCATTGATATCTGCTTTTGACAGGTCAGGGAAGTTTGGGAGGTCCAGGAGAAAAGACCTGGGTCCATCTCTTTGCAAGGATGTATGCCCGCTCTCCTGCCTGAATTGCTCCTTAGGAAATGGCCGATGGGCAGCCTGGAGATTGGGGTATTCTCGTCGCTCCTCGGGGTTCAGGGTGAAACTGTCTTCAGGAGAATGGTCCTCTGCAGTCAGTGTGTTCTGGGGAAGAAAAGTAAGGCACAATAATGACAACTGAGAGCGTGCAGTCCTATCAGTGCCCCCATCCCTCCAGTGGCTGCAGCCTTACAGCACCCAGGCCCACGGCTCACTACTGAAACACAGATCTGTAACCAGCTGACACAAAATAAAACTGAGTCAGACTTGGGGACTTAGTTCTTCCAGGCTCCTGAACCATTCCAGCCTTGTGGCGAGCACCTACACATGGACACAAGCATCAGACTTAAAACAAACCTAGAAACATGAGGCTCTGAAGTAACCCCAGGAAATCAAATTGTACCACATTAAACATGTCCCTAAAAATGCCGAAAGGCATCCATCTTAAATTATTTTAGTTTGCTTTGTTCCAAAGTGAAGCAAAAACACTGACTGCTAAGGCCATGAAATTTATGGGATTAAAAGATCCCACCACTGAGCTGGCAACCTCCCCTTCTCTCCCCTCAGTCTGCAACAACTTCCATCTCGTCTCTGAGTTCCTCACCCAATTTCTCTGGTCTTGGACATCTGAACCTTCCTTCCTGTGGGATCTCATTTTCATGTTTGCCTAATGGTGGGATTGAATTTCACCAAGCTGTGGGTCAGCGGTTAATGCTTTTGTTATTGTTGAGCGTACTTCTGGGTTTTGTAGTATATTACAGCAGGCTTCCTCTGAACCTCTGAACCAGTAGCACTGCTGCCACTGCCTTTGACCTCACCAAGGAGACACATTTAGTATCAAAACACTGGCTCCCTGGGTTAGGACTGGCCTGGGCACTTGGGGAAAAACAGCAGAGAAGCCAAATCTTCTTATGGCTCAAAAAAAAAAAAAAAAAGAAAAAAAAAAGAAAAAAAAAGAAAAAAGAAAGAAAGAAAGAAAAAAGCATGGATCAGATTCAGCACAGGTTTTGGGTTTGACTCAGCTGAAAAATTTTAGCTTGAGGTCTTAGTATGACTGCCTGGGGAGTTTTTATTTTGAGTTCATAAAGAGACAGCAAGCATGGAGAGGGTAAATGTTAAAGACCTATCTTTTAAAACAAGCACAATTAAAGTGGAATGGCCACATGTGGTTCTGGCTCTACTGAAGCATATTTTTGCCAGCATTTCTGGTTAAACGCAATCTCCATCCAGCTCCCCTGGTTCAAATTAAGCCACAGCATACCTTTAGCTAAGCTCTCAGATAGATAACAGCTCCAACGTTTTTTTCTTTTATTTTGTGTTTATTTGCTTAGCAGGTTCTAAATTGACCTTTAAAAGGATGTTACAATATAACCTGTGCACATTACAGAAAAATATTCACTGAGTTAAACTAAGCTGAAGAATTAATCTTGGACTAAGTGAAATTGTCTTGAGTAAAAACGAAGGTAGTTCTCCTCTACCCTCCTCACTGCACTCTATTTGTAAAGAGCAAAAACAATTTAGCAGAATTAATATTGTTGTATTGTCATCTCCAGAATAGTTACAGTCTGAAAGTGCCAAAAGGGTAATTTTATACATTTATCTACAGCACAGATATAAATTCTGAATTAGTGTATGTGTGCAGTGCTAAAAATGTGTATACTCCTGACAGTCTGCTTTGCCTGAAGGCTAAAACAGGCTCTTCTCTTTGCTGGAGACCAGGAAGGACTTTCAGATGCCTTTGGTGGCCCACCCATTATTCAATACAAAGCAGAAAGCAGATCACACAGCAGGAAGCTCTGGAAAATTAAACTGACGGCCACTTAGCTAACTTTAGGTCCCTCACTCATATGCTACTGCTTTAACTTAACACTTTTCAGATAGAATTTAACATGCTTGGTTCATGAGGATTAAATGGCTTTTCAGCTGTGTCTGACTAACAACAGGACGTAATAGTGCTGTGATTAAATTACTTCAGTTGGGAACAAAAAAAATGTGATACTTATCTATTTTTAGTGGGGTATCATGCCCATAATCTTACATTTATTAAAAATAAAGTAAGATTTTATTAAAAACTAATAAAATTCCCACATACGATTCCATACTTTCTCTGTCTGTTCCTTCAGGAGCATCTTGATTCTCCACATTAACGTAAAATGCAGCTAGAGCTGGCCAAGGCCTTTGGAGACCCAGATTTAAGTCTCTGACAAGACTCTGTGTGTGATCCTGACAGGTCATGGTCTGCTGGTGCCTCGGTGGGGATAACAGCACTTCCCTTCCTCACTGTGATGTTTGAGGGGACCTCAGCAACTACAATAATAAGGGCTATATAAAAAGTTTTTAATAGTGTCAAACAGATGGAATATCACATGGAGTTAGTTAGGAAATTGTCATGGTGAAGTAATGACATCAGGCTGATTGGGCCCAGTACCAAGCTGCTTGGGGCAGGAACTGTCATTAATTACAGACCGAGTGAGATGGGGCTGCTTGACATTGCAAAGAAAAACAGAGGGAGGACAAGATAACTACTCCATCCCAAGGGCTGTTGCCAGGCAAGGGAGGATGGACCACTCTGCTTGCCCAGGGTGGACATCACCCAGAAAACCCAGTGACACATCAGGTACACATTTCTGATGGCAGCGACTGTCAAGCCCCAGAGTGGGACATGGAGCTTGACTTCTAGAGCAGGGCTGGCTATTGCCTGGCAGGAATGACCCAGGTTAAACAGTGCTCTGCCTAGAGGCAGTGCTCTCTCCCACAGTCCCTTTTGCACTAGGAAGGCCCAAGACAGGAGTTCTTGGGCCTCTGTGTTTTGTACTGCAACACAGACAAGTGGAAACGCTCAGTATGTGTGATCGTTCCAGTTATCTGCTCACGGTACGACGAGTGAATGGACATTTGTTTCCAGTTAATAAAACGAAGAGAATGTCCATTTTTTTAGGAAGATACTTCTTGGTGTCACATCTAAGCTGACCTGCAGTATTATTAGAAATGTGCATTTCTGGTAAAGAGATTAAAGAGGCTGCCACAAATAAAAGTGAGTTTGAACTGCATGTGAAAAGAAGACTATGCTCACCCTGTGCTACTGCATTAGCTCTGCAAAGGCTCTTCCAAGACCCATATAGCAGGAAAAAGTGTGTTCGTATTGCAATACCAGCAACCTTTCTGAAGAAAATTGGGCTTGTGTTCCAAAGCTAACAGATGAATTTTTTTTTTTTTGAGGGGGATATTATTTCCTTATTTTTGCATTATTTCCTATGTTTATATTTCACACTGTTTATTTTTAGGTGTACACAATTTTATTTCAGATGCTTTTGGGAAAACAGTGTTGTTTGCCTTCCTTTAAAAGCTATGTCACTTCATTCAGAACTATTGACTCAGTTTCTTTGAAGTTATGACATTTCTAATTCAGGCACACTGGTTTCTTACTCAAATGATGCATCTGCTCTAAATATTTTAAGATAAAACACTTTTACCCTCTTCATTTAAAAGGATTATTCACAATGTTTAGACTTTCCATTAAGATGATTTTAAGAGGTTACTCATACTGGCTGTAAGCTACAGTTCTGCAAGTCCTGTGGGATCAGATAATTATAGAAGTTCCTAATACAAAAACAGCTTAGGATTTTTGAGTATTCCAAGTGTGTACAGCATATAAAACCCATTTTTATGGGTTGAGTGACAAAGCAATAAAATAAACCCTTGAGAGAGAATATTTCACATTGTTTGCATTACAGAATAACACACCTTGCAACACCCATCTCTGAAAAAGGGAGGGCAATAAGTCAGTACATATCAATGTGTTCGTATCCATCTATAAATCACAAAAGAAGAGCAATTCACAGGAATTTTGTAAGGATAATTTTCAGTGCTGGTGAGACAGGTGGGCCTTGTACTATGGCAGGGTTTAAGGCTCCAAGGGACAACCCTGCATGCAGGAAAATGTTCTGCCTGATATTGCAGGTTAATTCTCCAATAATCAGATAGGTATTTTAACATCCTTTGGCCTTCCCATCATGTTTCTCCCTCTGTCATGATAGACATGAGGTGCAAGGAAAAGTACTGTTTCTCTTCCTCACAGAAAAACTAAACAGAAATGAGAACTTGCAAAAATACCGAACTAGGGGAAAGGGAATTTCTCTGCAAGTTTGGCAAGTAAGGAGTCCATCTCCCTCCTCTCTTCCTTATTTTAATACTATTTCCAGTTCTGGAAAAACAACCAAGACAGAGGGTAAGTGAGGAATAACTGTAGATATACAAAATATTCTGCAGTTGTTGCTCTTTCTCTGCCCGTCATATTTATTGCTTTCCTTCATTCACTCCCTACTTTCCAAAGCAAGGGCACATTTGTAAGTGCTGCTAATTATGGAGTTGAGAGGACTTTAGAAAACTGATACAACTTATATTCTAATAGCTTCCAGGGAGCAAGGACATCTATTACTACATCCCTGCTGCAGCTACATTGTTTCCTTATTTCTTGTATTCTCCTTTGAAATATCTTGTAAAATGATCTTGACAAGAGTCTTGAATTGAAAACCGAGGGTCTGTCACTTCACTTTCATGATGCACCTGTACAGCATCTTCAACCACCAGCAACAAAGAACTTTTATTTATTAGGAAACTTCACAGATGCTATATTGCTATCAGAGACAAAATGAGGCATGAGGCCTGAAGCCTTCACAGAAAACCATTACAGCCATTAGGACTGGTTTCATTTCCCACCTGCTCAAACAGATTGTTTTCATTTTGAAAGCTGTTGTGGGTTTTCAGGTTAGTGCTAAATGATCACTTTAAAATTAACCAGTCCTGGGAGGCTGAGTAACACGCCAGGATACTACATGAGACTCTTAGTGCCACAGATGCAAGACGTGTAATGAACTTGGGTGATCTAATTCCTGGAGTTTATTTATGTTTTTCATCTATCACAAGTATAAACATCATGGGACCTATCAGGCATGTTAAAGGAGCAGGCAGTGAGGGTAACAGCTGAGAAACATTATCAGAGATACACAGAGAAAGATTTCTTTTATGATTAATGCCACATACAGTCCAAGCAGTCAGACAGGAAGTCAGAGACCAGAGGCGTGTTACTATTTTAATTTTTCCTT